GCCGCGGAGCCCGGGGCTCCGCCTACCGTAAATACCCGAATCCGAGGGGACACAGGATTTGAGGCCCTTCTCTACTTTTCCCGGTGACAACTAGGACAAAAAATAGTGGGTCCATCTGAAGCCGCAAACGTCCGGAGACATGAATGCATCCGTGTAGCTCCAGGGCCGACGTTTCCGCACGCACCTGCGGCACACGCGCTGCCCATCCCGCCTATTACCTACGGCGCCACGCCCCTCTTATCGCACAATTATTTTGGTGGATTGCCCGAGGCCGCTACCAAGAAGTCACCTTCTGGAAGAGGACTAGCGGGCTGCTCGTGGTATCCGCAGTGTCTACAACAGTGCCCGCCACTAGTAAGCGCTTAACTATTTGATAAGTGATGAAATATTTGATAAATAAATGACACTCCCGGCTCCCACTCTGCCCCTCCCACCGGACAGAGGTACTTTTTACTTTAGGCAGGAGATGGTTAGGCAAGCCGTGGGCACGACCTTCTCAAGCTCACCGGGCTGACACAGAAAACACCACCCTGGAGGTTTTCTGGCCAAGCTGCCTTCAGAAGCCGCCTGTCTGGCCGCCAGCAGCAGCCCAGATGCACTGCAGTCTTTGGGGGTAACACCGTGTGCAAACATTTGCCACTTCCCCAGTGTCCCTGAAATGCCCTCAAAGCATGCGGGTTCATAGAAGGGGCTGGATTTGCAGCCTGAAGGCTTCCCTGTTTAAAAGTGCTGCAGGCTCTGTACTCTGGGTGTTTGGACCTCCCAGATGCCACAGAGCAAAGGAAAGAGAGCACAGGGGCACAGCCCACGCCTTCCCAGGCAGCAAGAGGCAGCCCCACCTTTAGCTCAGTCTTGGAGAGGGAGGCATCTGGGTGCAGGGAGGAGAGCAGAGGGAGTCATGGTTTGGAGCTGTTGAACTCTGACCCCTCAGCGCCTCAGTTGTCAGTGGGGCTCGGCAAGTGATGGCCTCACAGGGAGCTCCAGGTGAAGGCTGGACTATGGGCAGCAAGCGTCAGACCGAGCCTGGCACACAGGAAGCGCACAGGAGGCATCAGAGCTTTCTGGCACTCCTTGAAAAGGTCAAGTCTGGGTAATAAAGCTTTGCTCAGAGACCCGCCATGGGCCAACCTGCTTGGGCTCTTTTATTTTTAAAGATTTATTGATAAATACAGAACTGGGGTACAGGCCAGAGGATTCACCAGAGTCCGAGTGGGGAACAGAACAGGCCGACTGACAAAGCACACTGCTGAGAGGAGCAGCAGGGAGACAGAAAAGGTCTGCCAGGCCATGTGGGTCACTCCCTGGCCAGGGACTGAACTCGTGCTTTAACCCACTGCGCCACCAGCGGAGCCCTGCTTGGTGGCACAGGGCTCCCCTTCATTTTGGCCTACCAGGCTTCTCCCCGCTGGTCTGTCTGTCATCCTCTGCCCCTGTGAGAATCACAACTGAGGACGCCTTCCCGGGGTCTCCCTGGTGAGCTTCAGCCTCTGTAATGCCTACTACAGGGCACCTCCGCCTCCTGCCTTCTGTGGGGCACCTGAAGTCACCGCACGGCCTCCACATGGCCGGGGCAGCCGCGGGGCCACTTTGTTTTCAGCGCCCATTCCTGCTCATCCCGCCAGCGTTCCTGTCCTGGACCGACTCTGCCCAAGCCCAGGGCTGAGTTTCCGCCCAGGAGGCCTGTCCTCGCCTGCCCTCGGTGAGCCTTCTCTGTGAGCCGCCTTACTGCCCTCTCCCCCACCTCCAGCTTCAGGGCTGGCCAGGGTCAGCGTGTGTTTGGCCTTGCCCATCATAATCTATGCTCCCCCAAATACCCATGGCAGCACCCTCAGGGACAGAGCCAAGTCCCTGGGGAGGGAATAGGGACGTCCCGCAGGCTTCACGGTGCCATCTGACCCTGAGCCCAGTTATTGAGGAGGTCAAGAACCGTGGTGACAGTTCTCTCACACCACCCTGGGGGTGCTGACAGAACTAGAGGACTCAAGACAAATTCACCTCGAAACCCAGGTGAGCCATATGTTGCTTCAAAAAGTACCAACAGAAGTGATACTAGAGCTCCATATATTTGTCATAAATTAGGTCATTTTCTCCCCAGAGGGAGTCCAAGGAGGAAAAGCACAGGTGGCCTGAGGGTGTGGACAGCCGGTCCCGTCAGTGTCACAAGTAAGGCTGGTCCCTGGACAGCTCCCACCTCTTTAGAGGAGGAGCTGGCGTCACGGCCACCTTCTCTGTGGCTGCCACAGATGAGCTAGAAAACAAAAGACTTCAGTTAGGGCCAGTTTCCACAGAACAAGGTCGGAACACAGAGGGGCCCATACTGCCCCTGCCCAAACACCCGTGCTGGAGCCAAGCCCCTCCAATGGGGTGCCTCAGAGTCAGCCCACTCTGGCTGGGCGCTGACAAGGCCCTTCCGCCCTGAGCTCTGGGTGAATTCCTGGTCGGCCAGTCCTGTCTCAGGGGCGAAAAGCCACCCATGAATAGTTGGGTTGCCTCCAGCACCCCTGCCCACTTGCAGCCCCAGAGTAGAGAGCACCCCACTCCTGCTGGCCCACAACAGGGTGCTGGCAAAGCCCCATGTCATCACATAACAGACACCCACTTCTCCCAAGTACACAGCCAACACCTGCTGCCAGCAGGCAGTGCGAGTGGGCCCCCACTGGCCACTGGTCCCCAGAATCAGTGCACAGGGCCCTCCCTGGTAGCACCTCCCTGGTGGGTTTCAGCGCAGCACCATGAAGCTCTCAGCAGCCACTGCAGGACGAGTTCAATCCCCGGCTAGAGAGTGACCGCAGCAGCCCCCTCCTGTCTCCCTGCTGCTCCCCTCAGCAGTGGATTTCAGAGGATCCGCCTGTTCTGCTCCCCACTCTGTCTCTGCTGAATTCCCTCACCCCCCCACCTCTGGCCTTGTATGCATAAGTAAATCTTAAAAAAATATATCACCGCACAATTGCAGAATGTGCTGCTTGCCCTATTTCTGGCGCCCTATCAGAGCAGAACCCTCCAAAGTAGATTCTGTTGTTTTCCCAGCGTAAGCACCGGAGGCCAGTGACTGGGCTTTGAGGGCCTGAGGTTAATACAACTCTTGTAAGAATACCAAGTGAGGGCACTCCGGGCGGCGCGGCGGGTTACAGCGCAGCACTATGAAGTGATCCGCAGCCACTGCTGCATGAGTTCGAGTCCCAGCCAGCAAGAGAGGTGACCCCCATCTCCTACAGAGCTGATGCTCCGGAAATAAGCCCTTGACACACACAAGCAAGAGAAGGGGTGCTGGGGTGCCCTCACCTCTCTGCCGGCCTGCCCGACTCCAGAGCCTTCTGTGAGGACATGATGACCGAGGGTGGCGTGGATTCCCGGCGGCCATCTCGCGTACAGTAGTGATTGTTAAAGAGCTTGTGGCTGGGGCCCACGGGGAGCTTGGGAGGAGGCTGAGTCCTAAGGAAAAAGGGCAGAGGCGTCGAGGCAAGCCGAGTCACTCACCGGCAGGGCTGGAACGCGGGGACGTCACCTGGGTCACAAGACTTGGAGTTGACAGCCCTGGGCTGGCTGCAGGTGGGAAGTGGCACCAGCCACAGTCACAGGCGTGTGTCTGGGAAGGTCTGGGGCCAGGGAGGTGGCAGCCCAGCTTTGGATGTGAAGGTGCTGGGAAGTGAGACCTACGTCTGCTCATTGTGGTCCGCTACCTGCCCCGAGGAAGGAGAGGCTCAGACTGGACCCCAACAAGTCCCCACCACCTCACAGCCCGGAGCTTGACACTGGTCTCACGTCCACCTGCAGGGGCCTAGGAAATGAAGAGGCTGAAGTGGAAGGCTCTGGCCCCCACCTACCCAGTACTCACAGCCTTCAGAAGCTCTGGCAAAGCCCCAGAAGCAGCTCAGTCTGCAGGGTTTCGTCCCAAAGACCAGGCTACAGAATTCCTGTGTTTCCTGTTATTGCAGGAACTCTGAGGTAGCCTGCTGGGATCAAGTCTTGGTACTCAAAGAGCACCTTGTCCTCCAAGCCTCCCCGGTCACTGCATTTCCTGCCACCTCTGGCGGCTGCTGCCAGAATGGGGGAGAGTACAGTCCTGGCCTAGGCTGAACCTTGGGGTGAATTTACAAAGAAGGCTGACTCCATAAAAGGAAATGCTAACCTCAAAAATAGGAGGCGCTTTCTTGGAAAACAAAGAGGGAAGAGGGCAGGCAGAAAGGGGGGTGAGGGGACAGGCCTAAAAACACTGGTTCTCATTTGACCACGCTTTAAGAAAACTTTCTGCCTAGCAACTCTTTTGCCTGGATTTAAAGTTTTCTTAAAACGGTCATTGCATTTTCAAAAAAATAAGAAATACAGATAAAAATGAAGTGTAACACCTTAATTTTAAAAGCAGTATCCTGTGTGTAAGTCAGAATGTGTTTAACCCCTGGAGCAGAGAGATGACCCTGTAGATAGGCGTGGCTGGTTTTCTGGAATTTAGCAAAGAAAACGTAAAACCAGCCAGATCGACAAGTGACCCCTAGGGGCGCTACTGTCCTGCAGAAGCTGACCCAAACACCATGAACTGACCCAAACACCCCGACTTAAAGGCAATTTTAAACTTCTGAAATGTGTAATTAGTTACAACATGCACGTTCCCATAAACGTGGCCACTTCGATGCTATTTTTCTTGCTTAACCCGCTCACTCGGCCAGCCTCTCTGACTTCACACATAACTGCTCAGCCGCCTCCTCTACTTCAGCCCACCGCCTCTTTCCCACTTCTGGCTGCTGGACCTCACAGCAGCAGTGTTCACTGCTCCCTCTGGCCAGATGTTTTCCAAAAATGATCCTTTGGCTCCTTTTCATCATACAGGTGACTCAAATACCAACCCCTCTTGAGACGCCTCCTAATAATATAAGGTAACCACCTTTCACTTAACTCTCATTTGTTTTTGTCTTCGGAGCAGAACAACATACCTGCTGTGTTTATTTCCTTAAATTTCTCCCTAGGATACGACTCCCTAGAAATTATTAGGACTTGTTCACACCCAAAGCTGACACAAGACAGAGGCTTGTAAATAGCCAGTTTTCTGACATAATTGAGTTTGACATCAAGACTACTGGCTGGAAATCCCGGCTGTCACTTTCTAGCTTCAGGGTGACTTTAAGCAAATGACTTAGAGTCTCAATTTTTTTCATCTGCCGCTTGGGGACAACAGTGTCAGGCTCACACTTCACACTACAAATCACAGAGAATTCATACCCAAACTCTGCCTCCACAGCCAACCACAGAATCACAGACTGGAGGCGGGGATTTGGACTACTGCTACACAGACCTAAAGACTATGGATTTAGCCTACGATGGAGGAAGCCCTGAACGGGACGGGAGTCTGGGCAGCAAGCGGGGTCTGCTCACCGCTTGGCGATCTCCTGGTACCGCAGTTGCAGCTTCGCTTGCAAGTTATGCTGTGAGAGGAGAGGAAGAAAGTCAGCCTGCAGGACAGCTCGGGAAAGGAGAGGGCGAGGGAACCGGGCGGCCCTGAGACAGCCAATTGAAGGAAAGGCGGGAGATGGACATGGGCTTGAGGCGCAGGGGCAAGCCGGGGGCGGGGAGACAAGATCCTGGGTTAGGAAGGTCCAAGACAGGTTTCAGATCTGAATGTGTTCCGAGCTAAGGGCTGGAGGGCGGGGGAGGGCGGGGGTGCGGGGAATGTGTCCCGGGCAGAAAGGGTCACGGGCCGGGGGTCCCGGTCTAGAGCCATCGCGACACTATGGCTCTTAGGCCAAGGGGTACTGGAAGAAAATAAGTAGCTGGAGGAGGTGGGAGTGCACGGAGCCCACAGCCCGCCCAGTGCGGCCCTTTCCGCCACCGCACCCCGGACGCCCAGTTCCGCAGCAGCTGGATGACGCGCGTAGCAGACGCCATCTTTCCTCCGCTGAAGGACGCCCATGACGTCTCTACCGCAGGGGACTGTGGGAAAGGTGCTTTGGCTCTCGCGAGAGCGGGGTGGGCGGGGCTGTGCGCGTTAGTATATAAGCGCTCCCCGGGACACGTGACCCCTCTCCGCCGGACCGCCACCGCGCCGCCATCATGGATACGAGCCGCGTGCAGCCCATCAAGCTGGCCAGGGTGAGGCGGCGTTTGGGGTCCGGGATGAGGAGGGAGGAAGGAGGGGAGCTGGCGGGGTGGCGTTACTCTCCGCTCTTTCCTCCAGGTCACCAAAGTACTGGGCAGGACCGGCTCGCAGGGCCAGTGCACGCAGGTGAGCGGTGGGGGCGCCCGGGCCGGGAGCCGTGCGGCTGCCCTGGGTAGGCCGGCGTGGGGGTGGGAGTGGACGTCCCTGCCCCCTCAGGGCCCGCGCCCAAGGCCCCGCAACCGGTGTGAGCTCTTGGCGCCTCCATTTGCCGGGCTCCGGTGTCGCGCTTCGGACTCGGGCTGTGCGGGCCGCCCCTGCGAGGTGTACCTAGTCCCGCGGCGCGGCGCCGCGGTCGACCCTCCTCCCGGTCGCTTTTTGCGCCGAGACTCAGTCCTGCTTTCTCAGCCCATGCAGTACCCCAGCCCCCCGCCACTTCTTTTTTTAAAAAAAGTTTGGGCTGGCTCGACATAATCTCCGAAGCAGATCGGCCGCCCACCCCGCGGGGCCTGACCGTGACAGGCCCTCGCTCTTCACCCTCCCCACGGGTCGTAGGTTCGCGTGGAATTCATGGACGACACGAGCCGCTCCATCATCCGCAACGTGAAGGGCCCTGTTCGTGAGGGCGACGTGCTCACCCTTTTGGAGTCGGAGCGAGAAGCCCGGAGGCTGCGCTGAACCTGGTGCTGGTGGGTGCAGGCTGGGGCAGGGGAGCTGTTAGACGCGACTGGTGGTTGGGGGCTTCCCTACCTAGTGGGGGGAGTTCTCCAGCTGCAGGGGGGACTTGTCAGCACCTCTTCTGTCTGTTTTGCAGGGTCCTGGATGATGTCTGGGTCAATTACCTCGTTCCCCCAGTGGAGCTGGGCCCAGTCCGCCCACTGTCAATAAACCATTTATATTATATGTAAACTACTGTTGTCTGAATGTAGTATCACTGGCTCCATAAAATCTTCCCATGGGGCCTCCAGGTGGTCACTCTGGAAGCTGAGGGAGGTGGGGGTGGCTTGAAGAGGGGGAGCCCTTCATCTATGTGTATTCCCCAAAACAAGGTACAAGTAGGAATGTTTTATTGAAGTTTCTGGGAATGTGTGGACTAGGGACTCTCCTCAGCCCCACCTCACTCTGATGCATCCAGAGTGACCTGGACACTGAGTCATGAAGCCTTCCCTGCAGACCCGCTCCCAGCTGTGGCCTGGGTCCTGGGCGCGGGAGGGAGAGCTGCTGGGTCCAGTGTCCAGGCTGCTTACTGAGGCTGGGAATCCTCTTCTGTGTCGCTGTGTCTTCCTTCACCAGGTGTGGCCGAGGGGGAGTCAGGAGGTGACTGGTGAGACATTGGGGGAATCCTGTCACAGTCCTACCTGCAGGAAGCTCCACATTTTGGACTGTGAGGTGCTGAATCTAGTGGGAACTTTGCTTTTTGCTGGGATGGTTCCTAAAGGGGCGTCCTTCCCTTTGGTAGAGCCAGGGCTGGAACCAGAGGACACCTGTGCTCCCCAGGCCAGGGTGGGCTGGCTGATACAGTGGATCCAGTCATGAGGCCGTTCGCATGTGCTGAGAACATCTGACATTTGCCTTTTTGAGTACCAGCCTCTTCCCCTGGGAGATCATTTTTGTGGTGCCACTGGGATAATGTAATGCCAGGCCAGGAGCTCCGGCTTGCAGGGGGCTTGTATCTTCGCCATCCTACCTACTGCCAGAGGCTTCCTCACTGCTTTGGAGGCAGTACTGGGAACCCACTGACTGGGGAGGTCAGCTAGGACTGCCTCAGCTCTGCCCTGACCTGTGTCGGCCCCTTCTGGAAGCCTTTAAGCTCATGACCTATGGAGAAGGGTACAGTTTGGAGATTTTTTTCTTTTTGTTGTATATTGACCATTAAATTCCAGCCACAGAATTCAAACCCAGGTTCCCTGCCCCATAATCCCCAGGAGAAACAGGCAACCCACCTCCTGGGGTCAGGGCCCTCACTCACCGTTGGGCTTGACTGGCCCAAGCTCAGGTGGGTGTGCAGCAGAGCAGCCACCTCATCCTGCTCAGCCTCTAGTGCGACAGCCAGGGCGCTGGTGCCCTCCTGAGAAAGCGAGACCAGTCAGGCTGCTAGCCACGGTCAGGTGCATAGCCCTCAGCCCGGTGGTGACTCACGTTGTCCAGGAGGGCAGGGTCGCAGCCGGGCTGGGCCAGCAGCAACCGGACGGTGTCCAGGCGCCCGTACTCGCTGGCGCACATGAGCGCCGTGGCCCCGTCTGCGTCCTGCACGTTCACGTCTGCCCCACATGCCAGCAGGGCTGCCACCATGTCCTGGCGACCGTGACTGATGGCCAGCATGAGGGCCGTCTGTCCTGTCTGAGGTGAGGGAAAGAAGGGGGCAGGGCTGAGGTGGGCCCTGCACAAGGACATCAGACCCTGGTTGGTGTCCAGAGTGCAGGTGACCCCTGGCCTTGAGCCGGGGGTGGCCACACACCTGGCTAGCCTTGGCGTTGACGTCGCCCATGTGGAAGAGTCTCTGGACCACGGCCATATCCTCTTCCTCCCGCCCCACTGAGGCCAGTGCAGACAGCATGAGGGCCGAGTAGCCGGCACGGTTCTGGCGGTCAACCTCACAGACGCCTGGGGGAGGATGGAGGGCGGGGTCTGTGAGAGGAGAGGCTGGCTTCCCTGCAAGCCGCAGTCGTCACCCTTGCTCTTCCTCCGCAGGACACCCCCGGTCACCATCCCATCTGAGGGCTCCCCTTAATCTTCTGTTGGCTGCTGCGTCCCCCACCCCTGGCATTAGTAGGTACTTAAGCATCTGTTCACTGAATAAGTGGGTGTCGCCCTGTCAACAGCCAGACGCGGCCTGGCAAAAGGGATCTGGCCCAGTCACTGGCCTGTTTAAGACCCTTGCCCCGGCACTGTGGAATGTGGCCTTTGGAAATGACCTTGGTGAGCGTGGTCATTAGGCTGAAGTCATTGTGGTAGCCCCAATTCCAGGGTTGGCGCCCTGAGAAGCGAGGCAGGTGACACCACGTGATGACAAAGGCAGGATGTTGGTGACAGGAAGCCATGGAGCCACAGGAGCGGGTTCTCCCGAGCTCCAGGAGGGGACCGCCTGTGTCCTGCATTCTGACTCCCCCTGAATTAGCCAGAGCCACCTGCCTGCAGGGCGCTTTGTCAGGCAGCCCGGGAGCCCCTGGTGGCTGCTGCTGGAGCTTCAGAACCCAGCAAAGCTTCAGCCTCCGCTTACCCTGAAGTAAGCCATCCTGGCCCTCTGCCCCCACACCAGGGACCTCTGCTTCGCCTGTTGTCTAGAGTGACTTTTACTGCCCACCACCCCCACCGTTCTGAAAGCGCCCGAGTCTAGGGGCAAGTGGACGCTGGGAGGCATCGCGGGTGGGTGCACGGTCCAGTGCCTGGGCACGTGCTGTCCGGGTGCTCTTCCGTTCCACTAGCTTCGTGACCCTAGTGGAGGCAAGGAGACAGATGGGGACGGCAAAACGGGGTTCAAGAGGTCCAAGGATTGCTAGTGTGGGACAGAAGACAGCTGAGACTGGGAGGTGAGTCCGGAAGAGGGGTCCGGAAACAGCCTCGTTGCAGGTGGTCTTACAGGCAGAAGGGCGACGTCCAGGCTGAGGGGAAGGGAGAGGAGCTGTAGGGGCGCACTGACTATCAGGGTTTCCTCGGAGCGAGGGCAAGGCTGGCTGACGTGCTGACAGCACGCAGGGTGGGGCGATCCGGCCGAGAAACAACATCCTGGAGCGGGAGCCGGATGGGAGTTTGCACAGAATAAAGGGGCCTTGTTGGACCTTGTGCCGGAGAGCCTGTGCCCACCCCACCTGCCCCCCGCCAAGGCAGGAGACCCTAGGAAGGACCTTGAATTCATGACACCTCCCAGAGCCTGGCCAGGGCAGAACAGCTGTGCCCTCCCAACCGCCAGGCCCACAGGGATCTGTGTGTTGGGGAAGTGAGGAGGGAAGGGACGAGAGGGTCCCTCAGCTGCAGGGAGAGCCGGAGGCCCCAGGGTGGACCTGGAGCATGCTGCAGCTGGAGGAGCGCACGAAGGGCTTGTGGCGGGCAGTTTGCTGCCCACTGTCCCGCTGAGTCCCACGGGAAAAGCAGCTCATGCCGGCCCACTCCCACCACAGCGTGAACTGCTCATAGGTGTTGGGGCTCAGCAACACCTGCTGGGTACATAGTGGGGGGGGGGGACAAAGGCGGGCGGCGGGCGTGTGGAGGACTGGTGAGGAAGGGCCCTGGCCCTGCCCCCCAGGGAGCAGCAGAGCTGGGCCAGGGAGCACGTCCCCCAAGGAGGCAGGCAGCTGGACCTGGCGCTGGGGCACAGGGAGTGAGCCTGCTGGAGCTGCCTGGCCCCGCCCCATTCTACAGTCAGCTGGTGATGGGCTTAAACGAAGGAAGTCTGCTCGAACCAGGTGTCCCGCAGAGTGAGGGGAGGGTCAGGTCACAGCTCAGGTGGAAAAGCTAGCCCATCTATGAGCCCTGTCACCCCAGGACCTGTCAGTGGCCCCCTCGCCCGGCCAGTCTCCTCTGCATTTGCCACATTCTCCGGCCGGGAGCCCCCCAACCCCCACGCCCCAGTGCAGTGTCCGCCCGCCCTGAGGCTGACCCGTGTCCAGGAGCAGGCGTGAGATGGCCAGGTTCCCATGCGACACGCTGTAGTGCAAGGCTGTGTTTCCGTTGCCGTCGGCCAGGTTCACCACATGTGCCAGCAGCTCGGGTCCCATGCCGGCCACGGTGCCCAGCATCCCGGCCACAGCCTCTGCCCGCGAGCGCCTCTGGCTGGACACTCGGAACCACTCCTGGGCCACCAGGCGCGCTGCACCCTGCGGGGCAGGGGAATGAACTCAGCTGCGGTCCCAGGCACGTCTGCATGAGAGGCTGGGGGGCCCCCTTTGGCAATTCAGACGTGGAGGACTCAGACACCCTTTGAGGAGGGGAGTTGGCACAGGCCTGGAGGAAGGGGCCTGCCTTTTAGAGAAGAGACTGCGGCTGTGGGGCTGTGGTAGAACCTGCCCGGTGGAGGGAGGTAGCGGGAGTTGGGGAGCGGGGTTGGGGTCAGTGCTGCAGGAAAGGCTCGCAGGGAACCAGGGGAAAACCAGCCCTGTGGGCGCCAGAGGCGCCTTCCCAGAGCTGGGGACCAGTGAGTGGAGGTCCTGGCGCCAGGGCATGAACTGGGGGCCCCTCAGCTCTAGGAAAACCCGAGGCGCCTCGCCAAGAGGACGAGGACGGAAGGCGGGTGCCTGGTGGGGTCCTTCCTGTCCCGGCACTCACGCCGTCGCGGGCGACTCCGCGGGGCCGGCTCAGCTGCCGGTGCAGCGCCGTGCAGGCCTCCTTCAGGCGCGGACTCAGCTCGCACCTGCCGGGACGCGGAGCAGCTCAGGCGGGCGGGGCGCCGGGCAGCGGGAAAGGAAGCACCCTTCCCACCCGGGTCACTCACCTGGCCGGCGCCCCGGGCTGGGGCTCCGCCTCCGCCTCCGGCTCCGCCTCCGCCTCCGCCGCCTCCTGCACCGGGTCCCGCACATCCCCAAGGCTGGGGGGCTCAGGGGTACCCGAGTCAGATCCGCCACCGCTGTCCTCCCCGGAGCCGGAGCCGGAGGAGCTGCCCCTGGGGGGCTCAACGGCTCCCTCCTCGCCACCGCTTTCGCTGTCCTCGCTGGATGAGCTCTCGTACCTGGGGGCAGGGTGACAGGCATCCGCTGAGCCTCCCCTGGGGCAGAACCGGATGCCACAAGGCAGACGGCCCGTCCACAGCCCACAGCCCAGGAGACAGGCTAGCCAGGACCACGCTGCCGGAAGCGCAGAGCTGGGAGTCACACCCCAGGCTGCGTCCCCCAGATGCCGCCGTGGGGAGGGGAAAGGGCTCACTCTCCGTTGAGGACCCCAACGAATTGCAGGTTCTTGGGTCCAGGGCTGGGCTGGGCTCCGGGAGTGCCGTCTCTCTTCTTCATGATGGATTTAAGGATGCCTGGCGCAGGTCAGAGGGAGGGCACTTAGCTCGGCTCTGGCCGCCGGCAGGCCAGGGCTCAGGAGGGTCAGGACTCACCCGCGGGCGCCGAGGCCCTAGCCCCACCGGAGGGTTCGGGCGGATTCTCCTGTGTCGGGGAAGGGGCCTCCGCGCGGGGCTCCGTCTGTGTAGCCTTCTCGGCACACTCGCGCGCGGTCTGGGTGGCAGCCTCCCACTGCTGGGGCTGGGCCGGGGCTGCCCCGAGGACCTCCTCCAGCTCGTGCAGACGGCCGCGCAGCAGCTCACTCACCCCCCGCTGGTGCTCCAGGCTGGCCCGCAGCAGTCCCACCTCCCGCTCGGCGGCCGCGGGCAACCCCAGCAGCGCCTCTGTCACCCATGTGTCTGCCTCGAGGGTGTCGGGGGCGGCCACCGCGCCAGCATTTCGGGTCTCCCGCACGGCCTGCACTCCTGCCTCTTGGGTCTCCAGCACGGCCTGCACGCTGGCCTCCCGCGCCTGGGGCGCCCCCTCTGGGGCCCCGTCCGCCCCATCCAAGACCTGGAGCTCCTCTTCGCTGTGCCTCGAAGGAGACACATCGGGACCATCAACCCGAGGGCCGGCCCTGGCGCGGACGCCGCGCTCGGAGGTGGCCAGGCGCTCGGTAAGCCGCCGCAGCTGAGCGA